ACTGCCTGGAGGCTCAGGCAGGGGCAGTGCCTGTGTGAGCTGAGCAACGGGACCTGGAAACCCAGAGCATGAGCACCGTTGGAGCTTTAATGCCTGGCAGGCCTGGCCCAGCCTGCAGATAAGCAGCAGGAAATACGTCAGGCCATTGCGAGGCCCAGCCACGGCCTTGTGTACGTGCATGGGTTCATTTGTGCGGGAAGTGGGGGCATCACATGGCGACAGGAGCTTCCAGCTCGCTGTACGTGAGCTGGAGACATACTCAACAAAAATAGGCACCGCACACTTGGTAACAGCAGGGAAAAGCACAACCCTGGCTTTTCATGCATAATCCCAGTCTACCTGTTATTATTGTCCGGGCTCCAGCAGTGGACCTGGAGCCAAATGCTGGAGTGATTTATTCTTTGCTCAGTATAATTCCATTTACTGAGTGGAGTTATTTAGTCATTGCAAAATTCGGCCCAATTATTTTTATTTGGACATTCGTCTTATTTTCATAACCGTGCCCCCTGAAATGCTAACCCTGCCGCCTCCAGAAAGAGCCATTTTCTGCAGCAGAGCTAACACCGCATTTGGAAAGGAATTGTATGCTGGCACCCAACTTCTCCTGCATTATCTGGCTGCGTTCTGGAGATGACGCTGATGCTCACTTTGAGATAAGCCCCCAAATCGAGCAGAGGGCAAGAGATGGAGCACACATCCATAGGGACACAGACATGGGAGGATGAGGAGTGGAGTATGATTCCACTGTTCACTGTGAAAGAAAAGTCTTTCCTTTTGTTTGCCCTAAACCTGCTGTCTGCTAACTCATATGGTGCTCCAGCCCCGTATTCTCAGAAATCATGAACAAGTTCCTCATCTTCTCAAACTGTTCAAGAATTTCTGCAACTCTCTCCTACCCTCATTTAATTTTCTGAACTGTAAGGCCCCACACTATTACATCTCCACCCTGCAGTAGGAAACACAGATGCCTTTGTTGATGTACCTTTTCTTGGAACTAAGTGAACCAACACAGAAAAACAGTTTTTCTGATACTGCCTTATCCTCCCTGAGGGTTCGTTTTCTTCCCCATTCCGAAGAATGGCCAAAGACTTCCCAGTGGGCTTCCTTCATTCAACACGTTCAGACTAGTTTCCAGCAGCAGATTCTAGCCCATAGCATTAGCATCCATGCCCCCTTGCAGTCATTTGCCAAATCTGTATGAAGTTCAGTGACAATTCTCATTAGTTTGCTGTCTACCTCATCAGCTCTCCCAGCCTGCAATCCTAAACCTAGTGCTGCATCTAAAGCCAGGCAGAAATCTGGGCAGTTTTGTCTCTTCCCTGCTTTATCTGTATGATAAAAATACACAGGGACACTTTACCAACGTAGACATAGTCATAAAATTAATAGCTGAACTCCTAAAGCTAGCAGATTGGTTATTTGGGACTGGTTTTCTGGGAAAGGGAGGAGCTGATTGGTAAGTCTAATGTTTGTTTTGGGAAGCAAACAAAAATGCCACAGAAAAATGTTGATACGCTTCCTAATTAGAATAAGCAGGCAACACTGCAACTCGTTTCCCTGGATCCCTGGGTGCTCCCCATGGCAGGTCACCCAGGGCTGGCTGTCCCATAGCAGAATGGCCACATGCAGCTTCTCTCAGAGGCTGGGTATTTTCGCTGCCAAGCCTAGTGGTGCAGTCGATACAATAGAAGGAAGGGATTTAATCCAGAGGGAACTGGACAAGCTTGAAAAGTGAATCCATGTGAACCTAATGGGGTTTAACAAGGCCAAGTGCAAGGTGCTGCACTTGGGTTGGAGCAATACCAATTATTAGCACAGACTGGGAGAAATGCTCTTTGAGAACAACACTGTGGGGAGGAACTTGGATTTCTGGTGGAGGAAATATGGAACCAGCTTATACCCAGAAGGAGGACAGACTACTTTTTGCATGGTCTAATAGTGATAGGGATGGTTTTAAACTAAAAGAGCAGAAATTTAGCTTAGATGTTAGGGGGAAATTCTTTACTCAGAGAGTGGTGAGGCACAGGTTGCCTAGAGAGGTTGTGGGTGCCTGATCTCTGGAGACATTCAAAGCCAGCTTGGATCGGCAGCCTGATCTGGTGGGAGGCAGCCCTGCACGTGGCAGGGGGTTGGGTCTACATAATCTTTAAGGTCCCTTCCAATCCAAGCCTTTCTATGATTCTACGTTCTTCCCTCCCATGCTTCCTCTCCCCACACTTTAGTTTGCCTTTACTTCAGATACAGTGAAAAAGCTGTTCTGCCTTGCTGCTTTTCCCTGGAGCTGGCTGGACAGCAAAGCTCAAGTTCCCTCAGCCATTCAAGGCTGCTGTGAAAAGAGGCAGAAATGGGTCCTTAACAAGCACGGTCAGGACCTCCAAGCATTTCTCAAAGGGAAAACACAGACTTGCCAGAAGCCAGGACTAAAAGTAACAAGCACATAAACATCATTCATGCAGCTCTGCGCTAGCCAAGAGCCATTCCACAAGTGAGCTGTGTTCTCCCCCTCCCTCACTGCCTTTTTGCCAGTCCCCTTCCCTCCTGCCCAAGAAAGGTCATTTTCTTCACAGGCAGGGAAATCTTCCACAACAACAGGGTTTTAAATCAAGCCAAGGAAGAAAACTTCCCTTTCACCAACTCCTAATAAATAACTTCAACATCTTCGATGCAAGTATTTCCAAACAAAGAATCCCTGTTCAAGACAGAGCTGTAAATTACTGCAGCCAATCTTGTTTTGTTTGAAATCAGACTCAGGCGTACTTTACTCATTTGTGTTCCAAAGCAGTCTTCTGCTTCAAAGGTCTTCTGCTGCTCTCTACCAGTGCTCTGTGGCAGAGGAAAAGCCCTTTCCCATGTCCTTCCAGGGGCTCTGCTCCCCAGTGCACCTGAGAGACATTTGCAGGGCCATACAAAGCTGAGAGGTGCCCTGGACATTGCGGAATTTCATGCCAGCATGTGAACGTGCTCAGAAACATCAGCACAAAGCTCAAGCTGCTAAGGAGAAGGGACCAGAGCCAGGCTGGCACCACCACAGCCGAAATCAGGAGCTGACTCTATGCTAACACCAGGGTAAAATGACCCAGGTCACAAGCTCAATAGCCCTGAAGATGGTTCTCCAACAGTAGAAGCACCGATGTGACTCTGACACCACAATTAGGAGCTGTGCAGCTTTAAGGCACAGTTCCCTGTCCCCTGGCACCGGTTACACTAATTGCACTCATTAAATACCCAGAGGTGCTGTGCTCCATGCTCACAGGCTCAGGCAGCTGGCGCTGAGGCACAAAGCCGGCTGGAGGCAGCACCAGAGCTGTGCTCAGGGCCTTGCTGGTGTAGCTCAGAAAGCCCAGGGCCACGCGCTCTGCTCTGCTCTTTCTCTTCTCATGCTCCCCGCTCCCTCCCACACACACGCAGCCTGCCAGTGCCCATTGGCTGCATCCCAGCTCTACCACACAGCACCTCTGAGTGCTTTAGGCTGTGTGCCTATGGAACGGAACGGAACGCTCAGCCCACGTCTGCAGCCTGGGCAGCGGGTGGCAGCCTCAGCAGCCTTTGAAGCAGTCTCAGTGAAGTGAATTTAATGCAGTGGTTTCGCAGCCCTTGCAGGATGGATGTCCACGGTCCTAAAAACCATGCAAGAGGAACCTTCTTAATTCACAGCGAGGCGGTCAGGCACTCTGCATGGCCTCTCTGGGACAGAGCTAAAGCACTTTGTGCTTCTCTGCTGCACAGGGCAGTGCTGGGAAGGGAAACACCAGCCTGCACCTGGGCATCTCCTGTTTGCATGTCATTTGCTTTGAGAAGCAGCAGGAAGTTGTTAACAAGGAACTGCTGAAGAGGAACTTATTCAGCCTAGCCACTGGGATGGCGTTCTTACCTCTGTATTAACATCCAGCCCGTTCTGTCTCTCAAAAGCATTGTTTCTGACCGCCCTGCTTCTTGAAGCTGGATCTACAGGCGCAGAGAGCAGTCCTGGGTTGGGCACTGAGGGCAGCTGGAGGTCACAGGCTGATGAGGGAGCAAGCTGGAGCTTACACACTGTGGGCACAGCTTACTGCTTACAGTTTACCCCTCCTGCCCAGCCAGGCTGGCTCTCGCATTGCACAGGATACTGTAAGACTCTTCTGGTACTCAGAGAACTTGTGGCAGGACCGGCCCAAAGGAATCTTCCCCACACCACTGCTGTCCCTCAGTTCCCAGGCAGAGGCAGCTCTGAGCATGGCTCCCCGTGCTGTATGGATCATTACACCACACCAGGCTGCTCCCGGCCCATCTGTCACACTCACCTGCACCTCTGCCACCGAGGAGTGGCAGAGTGGGGTGCATCAGTATGGCAGCACCTGAAGGTAGGATGCAAGGAACCTCCTCTCCACCTCTCACTGTAGTGATATTGGTCAGAAGCTCCCAATAACCACCTGGGGTAACCCCGGTAATGGATGATTGCAGGGCCCCAGGGGAGCTGTCAGCACAGGGATGCTGCCACTGGACTGAGAAATTATGGCACGGAGATTCCCAGCTCTGTGATTTGCCTCTCGCTCTGCAGAGAAATACATGATCAGAGACTGGGAAGCCTCACAAACACACATGCACCCCAAAGTGCCAAAGAATTCACTTGTCCCGCACTAAAACCCTTTGCCCATCAGCTCCAGGTGAATCTCACCCCTCACTACTAGATGGCAGCTATAGGAGCCCACATCGGCCCCGGGTACTGAACCCGTGCGCAGCACTATGCAGCTGTGGGCAGGGAAGAGGGGCGGGAACCCTCGGGTAAGAGCAGAAAGTCAATGCACCGAGCCACGAACTACACCTGCCCGTCTGCGGCAAAGCTTTTGGGCACAGCCAGTTCCAAGCAGTCCTTAAGCATCAATCCAATCAAACACGACCATCTTAACAAAGCAAACGAAGTTGCGTAAGGTCACTCCGCAGCCCATCTCCGTCCCATCGGCACTCCGCGAGCGGCAGCAGCAGCAGGGGGGCAGGGCACCGCAATAAGGACGGCCCGGGGGTACTGTGCAAATATATCGGATTTTATTACTCTTTTATGGAAATAATAACAGACATTCAGGTAGAAACATATTAAATTAATGCAGTCGACAGTCTAAATGCAAAAATAAATATAAAGTCCGGCAGCTCAATGCATCTAAAACAGCTCATTTCTTCTAACGGATAGAAAAGATTTTTTTTTTTCTTTTTTTTTTTTTTTTTTTTTACGGAGAGTTTCATACAATCAAATAGAAACGAAGGTACAAGCGCTTTCTCAGAAAACACCGCGACCCGGCAGGCAGCGGAACCTCCCACCGCCGGGTCCCCGCCGCCGCCGGGTGCAGTCCGCGGGCCGGGCCGGGTCCCGCCGAGCCGAGCCCAGCCGAGCCGCCCCTCAAAGGGCCGAGTCCGAGTCGCTGGAGTCGAGGCTGTTGCGCAGGCGGCAGCTGCCCAGGCGGTCCCGCTGCAGGCTGAGGTTCTGGGTGCTGCGCCGCAGGCACTCCAGCGACTGCAGGAAGGACTTCTTGGCCTTCTCCTCCTCCATGGGGGACACCCCCTCCTCCTCCACCTCCTGAATCTCGTCGAAAGTCACCGGCTGCGTCTTGAAGCGCGACTGCCGCGGCCGCCGTGCCTTGCCGCGGGCGGGCCGGGCCGGCCGGGCGGGCGGCGGGAACTCCTCGGCCACGCAGACGAAGTGCGGCATCACCGCCTGGTAGCTAGAGCAGACCCCCAGCAGCTCGGCGGGTTTGGCGGCCATCCTGCCGCCCGCGGGGCCGCCCGCCGCGGGGGCCGGGGCCGGCGGAGCGGGGGGAGCTGCCTCGGCCGTACCGGGCGACGGTGCCGGAGCGGAGAGGAAGCGGGAGCGCCGCGGAGCCGAGGAGCGGTCGACGAGCGGCGCGGTGCGGAAAGCGGCGCGGTGCCGGGCGATCCGATGCGGTGCGACGCGATGCGGCCGGAGCGCGTCCCGCCTGCCTCAGCAGAGCCGGCTGCGCCCGCTGCCGTTATATAGAGCGGCGGTGCCCACGCGGGAGCACGCTCGGCGGCGGCGGAGCCCACCCGCGGCCCCGCCGCCTGGCACCGCCCCGGCCCCCCGCCCCCGGCGCCGCCTCTCCTCCACCGCCCCCCGGCCGCGGGGAACGGGGCGCTGCGAGAGCTCGGGGCGGCGCGCCCCGATCCGCACCGCACCTCCCGCTGCCCCCCGGCTGAGAGCCGCGGGTCCGGCGCTCAGCCCCGCAGCGCTGCGCTCGGGACAAGCCCAGCTCCGTGCCGGGATAAGGCACCCCAACGCCACAATAAACTATGGAGACCGCGCAGCACCACCATTCCGCGACCATCGCCCAGATCTCCTCCCACTTCTGCCCCTTTTGATGCGTTTAAGCAGGGTTAAGTACCTGCTTCAGTTGACTCTATGTCCACTTATCCGAGGGATCCTAAAATTTTCCATTCCCCGCAGTCTCGGCCACACTGGTGATGCACAAACAGAGCCACAGACAAGAAATGGCATACACGTAGCACTGAGCTGAAATAAATGCTATAAATGAGCAGAGGCTGCAACCACACCTCAGAGCCGCTCAAGCCAAGGGGTCACAGAATAAGCCAGCAGCATAGGGCATGGGGCAGCATAGTATAGGGTCGCATAGGGCAGCGATGGGGACAGAGCTAGGTAGAAGCAGAGAAGGAAAGAAGGAGGGAGACAGAACTTGACGTGGCTCAGCTGTTCCCTATGCAGGGCGAATGTGAGAACAGTCCACTCAGACACCCTCTGGCAGCTTCACCCACACAGAATATTGCTGAGGCCTGGTAAGGAGCTGAGCAAGGGCAGTCCCACTGCAGCCTGGCTCCAGAACATGGGGCTGGGAGCGAGGTATGGGCAACATAGGGCAGCACTGCCAGCAACACTCCAGCCTCGATGTGAGGAGACATCTGGCTGCAAGCATGTTCCTTGGCTGCTTGCAGTAGCCTCAAGGCCAGGCTTAGTCTGAAGCCTTTGTACTGGGAGATAGAATTAACTTAATAAGAGAAAAAGCTTTTGGTTGATCTCAGTGGCTAAATGCATCCCCTGAGCCCAATGTGCACAACAAGGCTTAGAGTAGGCCCATCCCTGGATCTCGGCTCTGCCATCACAACCACACCAGGGCCAGGGCCTTCGTCCAGGGGACTCTGGGGCTGAGCGCTTCTCTACAGCAACCCAGATGTCCCGGTGGTGAGGCAGGACACCTCACACCCACACCAAGCCTGGTGAATGCATCTGTGCTAGCAACAAACTCAGCACCAGAGGATCCCAGGCCTTGCTGAGAAATTCAGCACTAGCAGCCCCAGCTGCCCTCCAAGTTTGTTCAGCACAAACACAAAAGTTTCCTTTCAGGTAAAACCTTTCAGGTACCTGAGCAGGCGGGATTATAAACGGTTCCGGGAAATTTCAGTGTTGTGTTGGGAGCAACATCACCATGGCAATAACCAAGAAGCCTGAAGTTTTTAGTTGAGACAATTTGAAAAAAAATATCCTGTGACATAATCCCCCAAGTTAGGCCTGCAATGCGCTAATGTAACAACTATATTTATTCCGGCGGCTTAAATCATGCCTTTAATCTGTCTGGGTGCTCCTGGTGCTGAAACGCGACCTCGCCGCCGGGATGGCAGAGCCTGCTGCCAGGGGGCTCCCATGGTGGGGTGGTTCTGTCACATAGTGCAGAGCTGAGGTCATCCTTGTGCACAGGGCCCAGTGCTGCTCATCTCTGATGAGGTGTGCAGGCCACACAAGGCCCTTTGGAAGCCTGATTAGAGCCTGTCGGCTGGAAGTGCACAGCCACTGTCATCTGTGGCAAGCAGGCAGCAGCACCCTGGCTGTGCTGAGTCCCAGCGCACTGACCCTGCTGCTCCCTCAGCCAGCCTGCAGCCCAGCCTGACTTCTCATGTGCTTTGTGCCACCGTAACTTGTAATGCTTCCTTCTACCCACTGGACAACGTAGAGACCAGAAAGTTTGAATGCATTAATGCTCCTCACAGAAATACACCGCGTTATTCTTTGCTTTGAATTATTTTAGTTATAAAGCCGTAGCTGAAATGAAGCCAGTACTTCAGTAGCAGCCACAGGATAACAGCGTTTGGCTGTCATCACTCTACTTCTAATTAATGGGGTAATACAGCTCATTGTTTTCAAGAAGAGCTGCAAAATGTTCCCTGACGGAAACTGCTATGTGAGTTTCCTCTGTTTGGGCTGACGGGGTCAGGGCAGGCTGCAGCTCCTCCAGCACTGCCGCAGACGCAGCAGCAAGCGGTGTGTGGGGATACACGATGGGAGCACGGCTTGACAACAGGAGCTGATATTTGGGGGGATCTGCTGCTTCTCTCATGTTTTAAACACTTCAGGTTAAAAACCCTAAGCTGGGATCCGCCTTTCCAACTATCAACTCCCAGTTCCTTCTGTGGCTACAGCCACTGCAGAGAACCCACGTACTTCAGCAGAACAAACTTGTCCTTTCCTCTCCCCTCTCGTCCTTTCCTCTCCCCTCTCCTTTTAAGCCTGTTTGTAAGTAATTAAGACAAAAACCAGCTCCATTCTAAGGATAAAAACACCAGCACATGTTGCACAGGCAGGAATTGCTCTTGGTTGAGTACCATCTGACTGGGTGATCCCTGAAGTCTTGCTCAGCCATAGAAAACCCTCCTGAGCAATAGGAGCACAAGCTGGCTCTGTTCCTCTTGGGGAAACTAAGCCAAGTGGCAGTCTTGTGTGACGGACCTCTGTGCTCAGTTTTCTGGTAACAGCCTTCAATTTACTCCCCACTTCCTTCACTTAAAGCAAAGGAAAGATGCACCAAACCCATCTTCTAATGCACAGAGACACATCCTCATCGTGTGTGCAGCCAGAGAGCTGCCAGCCAGCCTGGGTGCTGCTCTCACAGGGAGATCACACAGCCATCTAAAGCTGCACAGAATGCTGCACAGGAAGAGGAGGTAAATCAAACAGGTCAGCAAGCGAGGAAGCCCACATCTGTCATCCTACTGAGCGATGGCCCTCTGGGAAGGGCCCATGTTTTTACAGAGACCTGCTGGTGAGCCACTATGCAGTACTCACGAGTCACTCCCAGGTATGCCAAGAAAACGAGTGATAGCTGCAGGATCCCAGCAGCAGTGAGGTGCAGGAGGACAGGCCGGTGAGCTCCAGTTTAAACAAATGGCACCAGTTGCTATGGAAACCTTGAGCATTTACAAAAAGCACTTCAAAAACAAAACACAGTGAGGCAGATTTCATATCTGATCTGGAAATGTTTATGACCAGAAAAGGCAAAGCGGGTGTTAAATGCTTTTTAGCTAAGTCAATAGCAGCAGTACTTGACAAGGAGGCATTATGGATTTGCAGCACCCATCCCAGAGCTCCTATCTGAACTCCCCAGGAGAACAATCTTCTGCACTCAGCCAGTGCTGCAGTATGAATCTTCTGGCTCCTTAACTCCTTCCTGGCACCCCATCTCTCTCTGAATTGCCACTGGCAGAAGCAGATTGCAGGTAACTCAACCTGTCAGTCACGACGAATAGAAAATACATAGCTGGATAAATCTGATGCAGGAGAAATAAAATTATGGATTGCTTTGAAGTCAATGAAAACTATAAAACGTAATATTTTTTTTCCTGAAAGAAGTGGTGAACATTGCTGTTGTTTTTAAACAGAACGTGCTCAGATCAAGCAGGTATGGCCCAACAGCACAGTATTTATTCAGCTGTACTCCAGCCTCATCAAGAGCTTATGCTTGAACGTTCAAGTATCCCATGATTAGATGTTTACTGCAAGTAGTGGGGTGACATAGATTCCTGATACCACTGTGGTTTATTAATAATGCCACTGCTTATGTATGTGTTAAATGAACAAAGGGTTATATATTATTGATGGAACAACCCTGTGCACCAGTCACAAGGAGGTTGGTTTTTTTTGGCTGGCTTGTTTTTGTTTCTTGTTTTCTGTTTCTTTGTTAAGAACAGCTCCATTCTGCATATTCTCTAGGGGCAAAAGACAACACTCCATCCTTACCAAAGACAGCTTCTATTCACCTACTCCTTACCATCAGGAATGAGAGTTGTATTTTGGAAAACGTGGCAGTTACTTGGAAAAGGCAATCTGTTGGAAAACCACAGGGAATGAATGGTTTTGAGGAATGCAATTTTTCAGCTTTTCATGGAAAAGACATCCATACTCTGCTGAAAAACAACACGTCACAATGAAGAAACAGGAAAAAAGTAGAAGCGCAGTTGATACCTGCTGCATCACACACCTGCTGCAGGGAGCGTATGAGAAACAACTAGAGCTAAACATGAACAAACAACGTAGCAGTGGGACTGGGACAGCAAATGGCTACAAAAGGCAGTTTGGGAGAGATGGCAAGAATACGGGGAAATAAGGAAAACAAAATCCAAGAGTGCTCTGTAGGCAAAGCGGCTCCTAACATCTGCTCCACTGCTGGTGGATTCTGGGGAGAACAGCAAAAACAAAACTGCCCAGGAAAAATCCCCTCTCTGAATCCTTTGTGTACGTAAAAACATTCGGTTCTGGATAAACCCAACAGCCCTGCAATACATTCTACTTTAAATTACTGTCACGAATTCTGAGTTTAAAACTTTTTCAATAAGCTTTTGGCTGGGAATGCCGTACTGTCAAAACAATTCTAGGAAGGAAGTAAAGCCTCGTGACTGGAAAATAAACCTCTGGATAGTGCTTTTAGAGGCACTGCTTTCAAATCCACGTAACGAGGGAAAAATTTC